CGCATACTTCAAGTGATCTGGGAGAGATTTCAACTCCAACAATGGCGCCTGCGTAGTAGAAGGTAAAAGTTTAGCATGAGAAGAAGACAACTCAATAAAAGAGACAATGTGTTTCAAAGGTGGAAGTGAATCCAAATCATGGATAGCTTCAAGCAAGTCCAATTCTAGTTCTAATTTCTTCATGAGTTTACATGGATGACTATGCCTAAAGTTCTTGTTAAGTGCTATGTTCAATGCATCTTCATCACCTAACTCAAACACTTTCTCTGCTAAAGGATCGATAACATCCAAGACAAAAACCGAAGACGACTCACAAGGATATTTCATGGCATTATAAATATTAAATTTAATGATATCACCATCAAACTCCATAGTAAGTGTACCATCATACACATCAATTTTCGTCTTAGAAGTCTTTAAGAATGGCCTTCCTAACAAAATCAATGAATGAGATGATGCATCTTCTTCCATGTCAAGCACATAAAAATCAGCAGGAAATACCAATTCATTGACTTGAACCAAAACATCCTCTAACACACCCTCAGGATATACATTAGATCTATCAGCAAGTTGAATAATCACGCCAGTCTCTTTCAAGGGCCCAACATTCAAAGAAGCATAAATAGACATAGGCATGACAATAATCGAAGCTCCAAGATCTAACATTGCTCTTTCCATTCTCACACTCCCAATTTTAAAAGGAATAGTAAACATACCTGGATCCTTGCATTTCGGCGGCAATGTTTTCTGAAAAACAGCAGAAACATTCTCACCCATACTCACAAATTCATTGCCTTTCAATTTCTTCTTATTCGTGCATAATTCTTTCAGAAACTTAGCATATCGAGGAATTTGTTTAATAGCATCAAGTAAAGGAATATTTACCTCGACTTTACGAAAAGTATCAAATATCTCTTTTTCCTCCTCTTTCTTCTTTGATTTGGACAATCTTGACGGAAAAGGGGGAATAGGAGCTAAGGGTTTCAGTGGCTTACCTTGGTCCGCATCCTGACCTTTGATAGCATCATGTGCAACGTCTTTTTCAACTTCTTCTTCGAGATTTCCCTTTTGTTTGGTTTCTTAGCATCTTCTAGCTCCTTTCCACTTCTCAAGGTTATTGCACTTGCATTCTGCTTTGGGTTGATTACCGTTTGTGATGGCAGTTTACCTTGAGACTCGTTGCGGCTCACAGAAGAGGCTAGTTGGTTGAACCGTTCCTCGAGATTTTTTATGCTACTCCTCGTCTCTTGTTGAAATTGTTGAGTGTTCAAGACAAGTGACTTCATCATATCTTCAAGAGCTGAGTTGGAACTCATGGCATGCTGTTGAGATTGAGGAGGAGGTGGAGGCGGTCTAGGCATGAAGTTTTGGAACTGAGGGGTGCATAGCTTAAACTAGGATGATCCCTCCATCCTGGATTATAAGTGTTGGAGAAGTGGTCATACTTCCTGTGTGGTGGGCCCGAGAATCCTCCAATCGCATTAGCTTGCTCTGGGGAATCTTCTTGAAGTGTCGAACACATATCAGTGGGGTGTCCGGAATCAGCACAAATCCCACAAGCCTTCACTTGTTGCACGCCACCAGTTGCTAACTGTTGAACCATTGAAGTCAAATTAGCTATTTGACTTTCAAGAGACGACACGTTCACCTCATTCACCTTCCTCTTGTAGGTGTCATGTCTGGAACCGAACTGCTGAGAGTTAGCAGCCATGGTGGAGATCAATTCTCTTGCTTGAGCAGGCGTTTTGTTTGCTATGGCTCCTCCACTAACGGCATTCATCATCCGTCTCTCCATCGGTAGTAGGCCCTCATAAAAGTATTGGATGAGGAGTTGTTCAGAGATCCCATGTTGAGGGCAACAAGAGCAAAGTTGCTTGAATTGTTCCCAGTAATCATGGAGCGTCTCGACATCCTTTTGTTTGATTGAACAAATCCCCCTCCGAATGTTCGCTGCTCTTGAAGCAGGGAAATATTTGTCGAGAAACAGGCGTAGCATTCCATTCCATGTGGTAATAGATCCAGGAGGCAAGTAAAATAGCTAATCCTTAGCACTATCGATCAATGAGAAAGAAAATGCTCGAAGTTTGATTTGGTCCTCCGTGACACCTTGTGGCTTCATACTTGAACATGGAACTCTTTCAAATGTTTATGTGGATCCTCATTCTCAAGTCCACGGAACTTAAGAAGTATGTGGATGAGACCGGACTTGAGCTCAAATGCCTCCATCGTTGGGTACTCAATGCACAATGGAGTTTGTTCTATGTCTGGAGCAGTCAATTCTCGTAACGTTTGCTGTCTCTGTGCCATAATCGGCTCAGCTTCTGTTTCGATTTCAAGTTCTGAAGCAGTTTCAACTTCTGAATTACTAGAAGAATCCTCCAAATCAAGGGAAATATTTAATCCGAGGGAAGATGAAGAAGACTCTTGAACACGCAAAAATTTAGCTTCTTTCCGCAACCGCTTTGCAGTTTTCTCGATTTCTGGATCGTACTCAAGTAGATTTCCTGCACGAAAAGAACGTGGCATCAAAACAAATCTAATTTTAATTTCCAATCCCCGGAAACGGCGCCAAAAATTGATGGGTGTCGAAACCAACAATAATAAATTCTTACTCGTCTAAAATGTAAAATTGTAGTAGCAATGAGTAGAGTCGTATCCACAGAGATTGGATGAAATGAGTTGATGTAACTATTTCGTAAAAGAATAAAAAATAAATAAAA